AGCAATCTTCCCTTTTCTGATTCTCAGGCTGAGACCTCCAAATTAAGGTGAATGTTATGACAGAGTGACTCATTCCACAGTGAGACAGACTAAGAATGACAAAGCCGGGGTTAGATAAACAGTCGTCAAAGATGGCCACTTCAAATTCAGTGTCCATTCCTAGAATTCCTTAAGACGCCTCATGAGATGCTAGGAAATCTCTTTACCAGGGCATGTAACATTTTACATATTCCAGATCCCACCAGCCTTGACTCCTCCACACTTAGGGACCTGACTTTGGTCAGAGAGGAGAGTTGGGGTAGTCTCCAAGTACATCATTAAAGCTAAAGGCATTATGAGTGGTCATGAGAAGGAATCAAGGATCGAGAAAAGAAGGGGTCAGCCCCCCCCCCAGCCACACAGTCAGCCAGCTCTCTAACGCCAGCGCCGCCTCTTGCTTGCCGAGCTCCAGCCAAAGGAGAAAGGGGGTTAGATAAGTAAGGAGCTGCTCTGGCCATGGCTCGTACAAAGCAGACTGCCGGCAAATCCACCAGTGGTAAACCACCTAGGAAACAACTGGCTACAAAAGCTGCTCGAAAGAGTGTGCCCTCTACTGGAGGGGTGAAAAAACCCCATCGTTACAGGTCTGGTACTGTGACGCTCCATGAAATCGGACACTATCAGAAACCCACTGAACTTCTGATTCACAAGCTCCCCTTCCAGTGTCTGGTTTGAGAAATTGCTCAGGACTTCAAAACAGATCTGCGCTTCCAGAAGCCTATCTGGTTGGCCTTTTTGAAGATACCAACCTGTGTGCTATCCACACCAAACGTGTAACAATTATGCCAAAATATATCCAGCTAGCACACCGCAAAAGCAGAGAACATGCTTAAGAGTCCACTATGAGGGGAAACATTTCATTCTCAAACATTTTTTCCTCTTCCTGTTAGTTCTGAATGTTATTTTTTCGATGGGGTCAAAAGTACCTAAGTATATGATTGTGAGTGGAAAAATAGGGGACAGAAATCAGGTATTGGCAGGTTTTCCATTTTCATTTGTGTGTGAAATTTTAATATAAATGCAAGATGTAAAGCATTAATGCAAGCAAAATGTTTCAGTGAACACATTTCAGCAGTTCAACTTTATAACAATTATAAACCTGTTAAAATTTTCTAGGGGAAAAGAGTAATGAGCTGCTGGGTGGCTCTCCTGCCTGGCAGAGGACAATGGGGATGCACTGGGCTGTGGAGTGGTGACAAGAACTCCCAGGAGGAGTTCCTTGGGACACCATGCCTGGCTAAAGGGGTAGGGTTTGTAGCTCCTTAGCTCTTTCTGCTTAGGATGGAGCATTGTTTTCTGAGTCTGAAGCAAGCATTCAGGGTAGCTCGTGTCACCTCTGAGAAGGTGTGGTTGAAGTGGGCCTTGTCCTGGGGCCTCCTGCTCTCTGTGCCCACAGAGATCGGCCTGGAGCTCACAGCTTCTCTCTGGACTAGCCTTGGTGAAAGAAAAGGGGGAGGGGTGTTGCCTGAGGCCAATATCTTGGCAATGAGCTGCCCCATAATGCCCTGGGATGGACAGTTTTGTGGGGATGGATCCCTGGCAGGCTCATCCTCCTGATGAGTTCAGGGCACTGGCTAAGACTCCTCTGACCTTGGACTTGCACCAGGAAGATGGAGCCATGGATCAGGCAGTCCATTCCTCAGTGGTATTCTGTCATTCAATACTCCTTGACCTTTGACTCTATCAGCGGAGCATGGAGCAGCTTCTGTGTGCCAAGCCCTTTCAGTGCCCTTGGAATGAGAAAGACAACTCTCCTGCATCAGTAATGTCTGAGGAGAGTGACCGAGACAGGCTGGAAGAAGTCAGGAGCACAGAGGAGTGGGCAGAAGAGGCAGCAGGTGGCAAGGGGTGGGGTTGCAGAGCTGGCAGGAAGGGCCAAATCCAGGTTGAGGTCCCAATTGTGAGCACTCAGTGGCAAAGCCCAGTTTGGACAGCAGAGGGCAGCAAGAGTCCTGTAGCCTGGAAACTGGCCTTCAAATGCTGGCATAGAGCTGGTGATTAAAGGATGGGGATTTATGGTATAGGGTGAGACAGGGAGTCTGAAGAGGATGGATGAGTGTGCAGATGGCTCTTCCTGCCTAAGTCTTTTGTAAGCTTGTCTGACCAGGAGTCCTGTCATCCAGGGTCATCTTTTCCTTCTGTCCCAGCCTCGAGAAGAGTTGGCTCTACTTTGTGGTAAGGGGGATGGTGGCTTCTCTCATCAGAAACACAGGGTCATTTTTAATTTCATTTTATGTGTATGGGTATCTCACTTGTATGTGTATCTGTCCATCACATGCATGCCCAGTGCCCATGGAGGCCAGAAGAGGGCACTGGATTTCCTGTAACTAGTGTTTCAGTTGGTTGTAAGCCATCAGGTGGGTATTAGGAATCAAACCCAGGTCCTCTAAAAGAGCAGCAGTGCGCTTAACTGTTGCACCATCTCTCCAGTTCTCCCTGGCATTTCTTAGTGAAGTTTAGAGACTGAGGTTTAGGCCACCTGATGTCCCTGGGCAGCTTGATTGGAGCCCAGTCCTAGGACTCTCTTATGTCAGCCTTTCTTCCTGGGTGGCAGGAGGATGTAAATGTCAGTCTGCCTTAGCCTGGGGCTCCACCTGGGGAGGTGCGTAAGACCCACTGATGAGTTCTGGTTTGATCCCAGCCTCAGAGCACAGGAGTTTTTGAGAGCCACCTAAAGCCAGGAACCCAGGCCTGAAGAGACTTGGGAGAGACGTGGGGCTGAGAATTGCTCTACCAGGCTACTTTCTACCTTCAAAGGGCAACTGTAGCTGGCTGGGCCTAGTTTTCCATGTTTGCACTTGAGACAGTGGTGATGGTGACAGTGAGTGCGCCTCAGATACAAACACGCGAGCGCACACACAAGAGAGGGAGAGGGAATGTGCGTGCATGTACATGCGTGTGTTCTAGATGATGAGCTGAGCCAGGAGGGATGAGAGGACCGAGCATGACAGGAATGCAAGGGAAGGCAGGGAGGCTGGCCGCTGGCATGCTGCAGCTCTGCTAACACCCTTTGGCCTGCTTGGCCCTGTCCTCCTTGAGTTCCGTATTTAACTTCCTCAGTTTTCCCCATGTTACTGGGCCTGGGCCACTCAACCCAGCCTTTGTTCCCCATCTACTGGAAGCAAGAGGTGACCAGACACACCAGTGTGAGGGGCCCCATGCCACCATGTTGTTGGCTGAACTGATGGGTGTCTGGTTGCAGTGGCGGTACAGCAGACCCTAGGCTGTTTCCTCCAGGTTAGCACTTGGGGCAAGGGATGCTGCAAGCCAGCCTCCCTGGGTGGGCAGAGCAGTCTGGTCTTGCTTATCTTAAGGAGGCTGTGAAGTTGTAGGCTCCAAGGGCATGGAGGGACCAGGTCTCTGGATGCTCTGGGCCCTGGTAGGGCCACTAAGGCTAGAGAATAGTACATTCCTGGGCCTGTTGTCAAGGACCAGACACAGTGGACCTGAAACCCTTTGTTCTGTCATACTTCATCCTCATGTCCCCCCAAACAATATTGTCTGGAGACTTGTGACCAAGAAAGCCACTAGGATTCTGAGGTTCCCGGGGAACAGCTGTTGGCTAGGTGCTGTTCGTTATACATGATGCTCTGATTCCTTCTTAGGAGGGAGCAATGACAATAAGGAATAGCCTCCACCTCATTGTCCCATGCATGGCTGAGTCAGGATGGGAGCAGCAGACCTCCATGCTTCCAGAAAGCTCTGGTTTTGACCTGGGCAGACAAGCGGCGGGGATCAGCTCTGTGGATGCAGGGTGGCCCCAGAGGGTGGGGACTGAGTTGCGATGCTGTTGGGTGAGGAGTGACCAGGGTGGGCCATGGTTGGAGGTAGGCTGTGGGAAGCTCAAGTGGCGGAGCCAGCAGCGGGCTGAGTTGGCAACTGATGAAGGCCCCAGAACAACCCTCAGAGCATAACTGGCTGGTCCTGCACCAAAACCTTCAAAAGTATTTGTCTTCCTGGCAGGGCCCAGAGCAGGGCTGTGGCTGGGTGGGGGAGAGGCCCAGGGTGCGCAGGGGAATAGAAGCGCCAGATCTGCATCCAGAGGCGATTTTCCCAGGCTCCTTCCTCCCACACAGCAGCTCCCCCTCCCTTGGAGCTGGATCAGGCCCTTCCAGCCAAGTCCTCCTGGCTGCGCAGCTCGGCCTGGTCTGAGCTGCTGTGTCTGGAGTAGCACAGGGCAGACTCAGCAGCTGATGTCCCCTCCCACCAAGCATGGCTCCACTTACCAGCAGTTAGAAGACCACTGAGGTGAGAGGCCCAACTTCAGCTTGAGCCCCTGGTTGTCTCATCCATCTCAGAACAGAGGCTCAAGGTCACGGTGATTTTACTCTAGTGCAAGGGAAGGAGCCACTCTGTCTGCCTATCCGCCAACCCTAACTTGGCATTTCACTTCTTCATTATCTTTCCTCTGTGGCATAATGAACAGCAAAACAGCTATGGCAACTGGGAGCACAGCAGCTTCTATAGTGGCACCTCCCCCGTCTCCTCCCTCCAAGGTCCTGGAGCATCCAGATGGAGAGGGGCAACGCGCTGGTGGTACTGCGCAGCCTGCTCTGGCCAGGCCTCACCTTCTACCACGCTCCCCGCACCAAGAACTATGGCTACATTTATGTGGGCACGGGTGAGAACATGGAATTGCCTTCATGCTGTAGGAGGGGCAGTCTGGGCCAGGAAACCTAATTCTAAACCAAGAGGCAGCAACCAGGAATGTGCTAATGAAGGAGACCCTAAGTATGGACAGGTGGGAACAGGGGTGCGAAGGGAGGGCCAGGGGCTGCTCAAGTGCCTGGACTCAACCGAAAGCTACTATGGGCTAGGCCCCCAACTGGAGTGTGACGTCTCTCAGCAGGGGACGGGTACTGTGTGGCAGGCACATGGACTTCATAGTCAGGGCCCATTCAGAGACCAGCCTTGTGACACTCTGCTGGAAGCCCCACACTTCCAAGGAGGGACCACACGGGGAAGCTGAGAGCCTGCTTTATTTCATTTCTTTGAGTTAGACTCCTGTCCTTGCACCAAGCTCAGCCCCAGCCAGTCAGAAGACCACAGGCCAGGAGACCCAGCTCCTGCCTGCCGCGGCTCCCAACACTGGCTGGGCTGATCCGGGAAGGTCCCCATGCAGTCTGTGGAGGGCGGTGGTTCTGGCGGGAGGAGCCAGTGCGTCACGTGGAAAGTTCCAGTCAGAGTCTTCAGCTGCAGGGCTCCCATTAATGAATGAGCTTCAAAGGTCTCCTGGAGTAGCAGACATTGTCCTTGAGGAGTGGGGACCCACTTTGTTCCAACGGTGACCTTTTTTGTAGATGGGCTTGACAGAGCTGGGAGCCCAGCAAGTCAGGTAGCTGTAGAGGGAACACAAGGAGGTTGGTGTGCTGGGACAGGAAGAGCAGGGAGGAGGCGCTGTCCCCAGAGCTAGGCTGCAGTGGCTACGCCATCTTTCACCAGTTCTCCCTTCTCAAGGGCAAGGGTTTTCCTGGAAGAAACGGCTATTTTGTAAACAGACGGATGGGCTCTTGTGTGGTCAGGGTCAGGCAGAGTCAGGCAGCCCAGGCCCAGTTCCCTTGATCTTTCTAACTTGTCAGTGTCATCTACATTCAGAGAGAAGGCTGAGCCCAGGGAAAGATAAAGACCCTGCGCTCTGTTCTTCCCCACTTGGCTGCTCTAGACACCCTAGCCTCCAGGGAATTCCACAGGGCACCACACTGGTGCAGAACCCCACCCTTCACCCAAACTGATGGGAAGCACGGGGTGAACACAGTGGGTGCAGCTCCAGCCCAGCAGGTTCCTGTAAGTGGGAGAGGGCAGGGAAAGATGGAGGCCACACATGGTCCTCTGGCCTCCTTTGGGGAAAGCCTGGGCCCAGATTGTTCCTGGAATAGTGGCTCATAGCACCAAGATTGGGGTTTACTCTGTTCATAATGAACCCTGGCTCCTGACCACAAAGGCCCATCCTTCATGCTCAAAGTTCAGCCACCAAGGCCAGGCTCTGGGAGGTTGAGGCTTGCCCTGGCCGCCTCCAGAGACCCTCAAGGAAACGCTTCTTAATTTCAAAACTAGTATTCCTGGCAGAAATGAAAATTTATTTTTTGGCTGAAGTCTTTGGCAGAAAAAAAGCACTGCTGACTCATGCATGCCTTTGCACCAGGCTCCTCTGGACCTTGGTCTTCGGCTGGTGGCTTTATGTAGAAGGGATGCCCCAGTGCCCATCCTGGACCCAGTATGTGGCATGCTGCCTGCTGTCTCCATGGTCATGGTTCTAGGACAACAGGCTTTTTTTAGCATAGGCCCCTCACCAGCAGCTGGTCCTTGTGCTGGCCTCTCCCAGTCCCAAGAGGGAGAGGTGCAGGTGGGGGTCTGGGAGCAGGCCCATGAAACAGGGTGTTCACTATCACTCAAGGACTTTAAAAGACCCCAGCTAACCAGACTCTCCAGAGCTGTCTTCTTCAGCCAGCCTTGGGCCTGATGCCTTGCCACACGGAGCAGCCACCTGATGGGCAGGCTGGGTGGCATCCAGTCAGCCCTCTTTGAACACCTTAGCTCCAGTTAGAACTCAGGCTTTTCTAAATCACCCCCTTTCTACATCTTCTGAGCAAGGACTGGCCTGTAACCCTGTGCACAGGAGAGTGGAAAAGGGGAGACCATCCCTTCTGCTGGGGAAGATACCTCTGCACCAGGGTGCTGAGGACATGGGAGTGAGCAGGGACAAGGCCCTGGAGTGCAAACTAGGGACTTCTGTGTGCTCTCTCAGCATCCCTTGTAGAGGGATCAGCACCTCCTGAACCAGGGCTTCCCCTCCCCCAGGATGGCCTTTTGCAACTCAAGAGCCCCCACACATCATCAATCGGTGTCACACTAAAGGACACCGGACGTAAGGGAGGGAGCCTGGCCTGGCTTCAAAGGCCTGAGGGCAGGATGGATTGTGTCCTCAAGCTTGCTGCTGTCTCTTAAAAGCCAGGGTGGGGGTGGGCTCAACCCCCAAACGGACCAGAGCATGCCCTGCTCCTTGGGACTGCTGGCAGAGAGCCCAGTCCAGCACTGCTAAGCATCTAGGAATGGAGGAGGCAAGCAATCCCCTCTCACACCCTCCATCCAGCAACCTGGCCTCCCAGAATCCACCTGGGGTCTGGTAGGGGTCTCTGCAAAGGTCTGTGGGGGCTGCAGAGTCTTGCTCTGCCTCAGTCACCCTGCAGAGTTTCTGTTGTTCTCACTATCAGCAGAGGCATCTCGATACACAAGCCTGATCCACTCAAGGAGGAAGGAGCCGCTGGAAGCGTAAAAACTACAAAGTCAATTCTACAGACCCAGCGCTTCTCTCGACAAGGGGATAGGACAGATCTAATTGCCTGTGAGGGCGATGGATGTCATCAAGAGGGGAACCTGCAACAGGACAGCTGTCTGAATGTTAGGTGGGAATCTGCTCTCACTCAAGGGGTCCTACCTACCCTGATGCTGCTGGAGGGCGGCCTCGAATCTCTTCTCCCTAAGGCTGCAGGATAGCTCAAGCTGTCCAGGAAGCTGTGTAGGCTGTTAACTGCATGACTCCAGGGAGCACTGGTGGTGACTGAGCCTATATGCAGGCTGCCTTGATGCCATGCTGTGTATAGTGGCCCTATCCCAGACAGTTCCCAAGGCCTTGCTCTGCTCTGTAGTGACCCGTGCTGGAGAGAGCTGGGACACTGAAAGTTTGTAGAGTGCTCTGCCGCCTCCATAGAGATACAGCATGATGTCATCACCAGGGATTAACATATTCCAATGCCCAACCAGCAGCCTCCCTGCCCCTGTGTCAGGGCAGGGAGGGAGGTGGCAGATAGCATAGCTATGGTGGAAAGATGTGGGTGTGTACTTGGGCTGGTTGGGATGGAGCAGACAGTCAAGGGATGTCTCCTTGGCTGCTGTGAGAGCCACGAGACAAGCTACCCGAATACAGTGAGCTCCATGGGCCTAGAGTACTTGGGTCAGTTGTGCTCATGTTTCCTTACCGGTTGAGTTTGGGTTTATTCTTAGGTAAGGACCCTTCTGGAAGCCGTGGCCTGTGATTTGGGAATAGACCTGAGAGGAAGAACATACAAAGAGTCAGTCTCCACAGTTCTGAAAGGGCCAGGGGTAAAGACCATGGGAGTGGGGAGCAGGGGACACGAGGAGGGGCCATAGAATCAATATTCTGCTCATTGCTGCTCTTCCTGCTGTGACAGCTAGTCAGGACAAGGAACCTGCAGTCCCCACCACCCCTCTTAGCCTTGGATACTCTGACCTGCTCGGTGAGCCATCTTTACACACTCCTCAATCTTTCGGTGTTCTTCCAGGCACAAGCCTGTGACATTGCGGGGCAGCACGCCTCCATGAGGCCGGATGAACTGACTGAGCAGCAGCACATCCTAGTGTAAACCAAAAATAGGAATGTGGGTCAGCTGGGTTTACATGTATGCTGGGAACTAGGACTGTGGGCTCTCAGGCATCCGCAGAACTCAGTAGGATTTCTATTCCCCATTGCCAACAAAGGGCTTCCAGCACCTCCCCAGAAATCTTCTGACACATTAGGTGAGACCAGAAATGCTCTAGTGAGCGCTTTATCAACAGTCTTTCTTGGGAGTAAGATGTCTGGTAGTCTGCCAGGGAGTGGTGGCACACGCCTTTAATCCCAGCACTTGGGAGGCAGAGACAGGCAGTTCTCTGTGAGTTCGAGGCCAGCTTGGTCTACAGAGCGAGTGCTAGGTCAGCCAGGGATACACAGAGAAACCCTGTCTCAAAACCAAAATCACCAGGCAGTGGTGGCATTCAGCTTTACTTAATCCCAGCATTAGGGAGGCCGAGGCAAGTGGATCTTCGTGGGTTCACCTGGTATACTGAGTAAGTTGTAGAATAGCAGAGAGCTGTTACACAGAGAAATCCTGTCTCAGAACAAACAAACAAAACCAAACCCAAACAATTAAAAAGAAAGTATGTCTCACCGTCACTGGTCATTTTCCTTGGCTGGGATGGGACATGTAAAGCACTTCCATGAGAGGCAACGCCTGTCCACCTCAGCCTCTGAATCTAGATGGCACAGGTGAAGTGCATATAGACAGACACTCCTCCTGCTGTTCCTGCTCAGGTATCAGGCAGGCACTGAGCTGAGAGGAAGGGAACTGGGCTATGAAGTCCAGCCCATGTTTCCTAAGTTCAGATGGGAATGGGTCCTTGGGCTTCCTCATCACACACCTAACAAACTGTATGGGATTAAGTCTAGCAAGAAGGACAAACTGATAAGAAACCCTCTCTCCCACCAGAATTGACTCAAAAGGGCTAAGCAACATTTGTCCCTACCAGGGTCAAATGCCAGCCTTTGTACCTTTAATCAATTGCTGCCTTGGCTGCCTTGCTGTATGACTGCAAATCTGTTTTAATCACTGGACAGATCCCGGGGACCCTGAGCCCCCAACTCTCCGACCAGCACTCTTCAGAAGCAGGTAGCAGACTTGGACTAATGCACAGCTAACATACTGGCTTGCATCCCTCAGCACCCTTCACTGCAGGCTGCCAGCCAGCCGACAGCAGCACACAGCGTGGGCCCACAGTGCTCCAAGTGGAAAGGGGAAAAAGGAAAAACAGCTTTAGTCTTTACCTTGGAGAGGATTAGATTTCTTCTCCTGGAAAAACAGCCAATCATTTCCTGGAAATGGCCGGTAGGAACCTGCCCTAGTGGCTGGGCAGGTGTGGGGTTTGCCTCCCTATCTGCAGCTGGGATTACAAGCATGCCTGTACATTCACTGACTTCCATGAAACAAGCAGCTCTGAACTCAGCCTTCTGCTGTACTCTGGGCACTTATTTTCAGAGGACCCAGGGCAGGGTGAGGGCCATGCCCCGCCCCCATGCCCAGAGGTGGACTGAAGCCAAGGTCCCCTGTCCAGATTAGTTGGGTCACTCTGCTCAGATCTTCCTGCACTTACCATCTGAATAAGATCTCTGTCCTTAGCCACCCTGTGTCTCAGAGGGGATCTGGGACAACACACAGGTCAAACTGGCCCAGAGCCTGAATCACCTGAAACCCCCCAAAAAGTGCTTGTGTCACAGTGAGAACTCTGAAGAACAATGTGGGTCCCCAGGACTGACTGGGCCCTGTCTTCTCTGCAGGGTAGGAGTTAGCACAACATGGGCTCTGCCTGCCTCCCCAGCTCTGATACTTACTGCAGGAAGTTTATTAACTTCTTCATGTCTAGGATTCCCTCACTGCAAAGCAAGGATGAAGTCCCTACTTCATGGAGTTAATCAGAAATCTAAGGGCCAGAAAGATGGCTCAGCCAGTAAAGGTGCTTGCTGTGCCTGACCATCAGAGACTGATCCCCAGGATCCATAAGAAGGAAGGAGGAAACTGACTTCCTCACGTGTGCTGTGACATCTGTTCCTTCACACATATACACATTCCTCCAAAAAAAGAAAAAAACAACAAAAAAAAGATGCCGGGCAGTGGTGGCACACACCTTTAATCCCAGCCCTAGGGAGGCAGGAGGATCTCCAAGTTCAAGGCCAGCCTGGTCTACAGAGTGAGTCCCAGGACAGCCAGGGCTACACAGAAAACCCTCTCTCGAAAAACAAAACAAAACAAACAATGAAGCCTGTGACTGCTCAGGACATGGCCTACTGGAGCAGGCCTGCTCTGGGTATGTTCATGATCATCTCCTTTCCCAGAAGCAGCTGCTTTGGAAAAGGTACAGCAATTGGGTCGTCTGGAGCTGCACTGCGGAGACTAAGATGTGTCTACAGATCACACTGTGAACCACCTCAGGGAGAGGAAAGCCAAATCCAGACCCGATTTCATTCCTGTGAGAACTACCCCTGCCCTTATAACCAGGCCATGAATTCCATGGCTTCCAGCTCCACACAGCCTGTGAGAACTTTCTCTTTGAGGCTGAGTTGTGTATAAGTGGTTTGCCTGCATGTATGTATGTGCACTGCATGCTTACTCAGTATCCTTGGGAGACATGAGGGCACCGGGTACTCTGGAACTGGAGTTATGGGTAGTTGTTGAGTTGCCATTTGGGTGCTAGGAGCAGCAAACAAATGCTCTTAACAGCTGAGCTTCCTCTCCAGCACCATATTTCTTTAAATTTTTATTCCTGGAGATTATTTTGTGCATATAGTTATTTTGGCTGCACGTATGTACATATACCATGTGCATGCAGTGCCTGTGGAGGCCAGAAGAGGGTGTTGGATCATCTGGGAGCTGAACCCCTGTCCTCTAGAAGAGCAGCCAGTGCTCTTAACCACTGAGCTTTGTCTCCAGTCCGAAGCCCAGTATTCTCAAAGCCTCTCAGAGTCTACCACACAGTCAGATTTCAGGTCCATTGTCTTTGCTAGCCATGTAACGCAGCTGTCACTACCTGAGGAGGACAATGCTCAAGGCAAGAGGACTCTGGCCCCAG